ATACATACATAATAGGGTAATTAAGAAATTTAAATTTATGAATAGTTTTAATTGAAAGTATTAGGAAATAGTATTTATAAAATACTTAATTAGAATTTTTTTATCTCTCATTATTAGTTGAATAGATTGAACTATTAATTTAAGAAGAATACAAGAGAATAATTATCTTGTATAATAGATTATAAAGGAATAAGAGTATTTGTTTTAGCAGTACCTCCTATTGATGATACTACTTTAATTCATGTTCTTATATTTGATGATTAATTTGTTATAAAAAAGGCAATTTAAGAATATATGAATTATACGGGCATTTATCTAAAAAAATGTATTAGAAACTTCCAGATTTAGATTAGAATTTGTAAGAAAGTTGAATAAGTCTTTCAATTCGGATACATATTTAAAGTAAATCAAACTCTCTGAAATTGAATCAGTTTATAACGAATTAAAGGAAGCATCTAATTTTTTATAAAATTGATTATTACATAATCCAATTAATAATTTGACTCTTTTGAATATTTACTAATGGATTCTAAATAATTAAGCGAATAATCACATTAATCAGAAATTTGTAAGAAATTATTGAGAAAAAAATGTAGCAGAGATAAGGAAAAATCTTAAATATTAGTTATGAAGGGATTAATCTAATATTTTGGAAATTTCAAGGATTTATAATTAAGTTATTATAATAGTATTAAAATTATCATCTCATAGGTGGTTGGCAAAGAATCAGATATATTTTGGATATAAATCATATAATCATATAATAATAGATTTGGTAAGATTATTCTTGTTGTTAGATCGAGTTATTCTATGTAATAAGAAGGAATGTTATTATATTATCTGAAATAATAATGTGATGTATCTTTTACTATTTCTCCAACAACAATTAATGAAGGTTTAAGGAATCTTTTCCTTAAAAAGAAAATCCTTAGTTCCATATCCAATAAAATCTAAGATAGATAGAAAATCTAAAAGAAGAAAAATAATAAATCAGGAATAAATATTTTAATTAATCTAATGCCTTTGTAATAATTTAAATGAATATAGACAATATAGATACTTCACTTTAATATTTTGATCTAAAGGAAAGCGGATATTTCAAGGAATTTATATGAAAGTACATTTTTATGTGCAATCTGTTTATTTTAAAGTCATTCTTGTATCTTTGGTTAATTACACTTTTATAAGAAGAGTACAATGATCTATAAAAACATAACCAGAAAGTTTAATAATATTTTTCATCATCCATGAATCATTTATAAATTTTTCATAAATTTTATCTTAATATATTTTCATTATGATTTAATTTAGTTAATTTAGTAATAATAAGTAAGGTTTATAAATATTATTTTAAACATTAACTGAAATATGGAGTTCCAATTACTTCGAAGAGTTCTTTTTATTATATATTTTTTAAACTTAATTTGTTATTAATTATTCTAAATATAAATTACTTTTATTTAAATGATCTAATTTAACTAAAAATGAAATCTATTACTTTGTTAATAGAATATGACCCATAATTTATTATATTTCAATAGTTGTTTAATTAAATTTTAAATCCTCAATCATTTTCTTTGTAATTTAATAACAATCTAAAAATAACATACTATCTTTTTATAAATTATTTTTGATTAGTTTATTTTAAACTTAATAATAAACAGATAACACAGGTAGACATTTTGATTTCACTTACCATAAATTACTCTATTTCTTGAATAAAAATCTTTTCATTTTTAATTTTTCAATTAAGCATCTTCATATTAATCTCAAGCTTTCTTTTATATTATAATAATCTTTAATTAATTAATGATAACAACAATATATCATGAGTATTATTATGATTTTACTTTATAGTTTTACTATTAATTAATTCATTGAAAAGTTGAACAACTTATTATGTTATTTATTAAAATAAAAGAAATAGTAAAATTGCTTTAAATAGAATCACTCTACCTAAATAATTCTTATTCTTTAAAAAAATTTATTAATGATGATAATAATATATCTAATTATTC